TACAGAGTACCCCCCTTCCCGAAGGTAAGAGAGCACCTGGGACCTGCAGAGAGCCATCCTACAGCCCCTGGTGTTCAAGGTTGCAATAATGAGAGGCGTCATGCGGAGGGCTGGGGGAGCGGGGGTTCTTATTGGTGGGGGTGTCCATGGCCCCCGGCGGGTTGCGCAGCAACCCGTGACCCATCCCGTGGACGAGTAAATCTTTTCGGAAGCCGCGGACCCGCTCGTAGGCCGCAGCACCGCACTTTCCTTGCCCCCTGCCCTCCTTTATAAGGCCCCTTGTGGCCTGAAAAATTTGATCAAAGTCCCCCCATAGCTGAAGAGCTAGCTGTACCCTATTGCGGGTGCCACGGGTGTGTTTTAGGAACTTCCGTAGTGAATGCCGCAGCTCATGGGGGGGTGGGGTTACGATTTCTGGGGTGTTCCCTGGTGGGGCTCTTAATACAGCCTCGTGGTCCGCTAAGGCGGGTAGGCAGGGCACGGACCACCGACGGGGCGTCTGACAGGCTGGGGTTATTAAATCCATTTCACGCCTTGGGGTGGAAGGGGATGGCGGGGGAAAAAGTGCAACTCCTAATGGGTCGCAACTAAAAAGTGCAAAGGCTGCTCCCTGGGGGGGATCTACAGAAGGCGGGAAAGAAATAACTCCAGGGGCGGCAATAGCATTGCAGGAGGAGGTGAATTGGGCAGGGACGGGGTGGGGGCAGGGGCAGAGGTAAGGCTCTGGGCTTCAGGAGGCGAGCAACTAAAAGAAGGTGCCTCCTGAGCAGAGTCAAGGGTTAAGGGGTAAGGGAGGGGGCTCCCAGTGACGCTAGGCGCTGGCTCCGTGGTGGTTTTGGCAGCCATGGCATCAGGTGGTGGACCACCTTCTGTGGGGCGCTCGCCCAGGAAGGCAATTAGGGGGAGTGAGCATGGGGAAGGGGGGGCTGGGGTGAGGTTACCCAGATTGAGGCCAGCCAGCAGTAGATCATCCTCTCCCTGGGTGACCAGGGTCAAATCTAGGGCCTCAATCGCCGCATACACGGAGGAGAGGCCAACTCCTGCTACCCCGGGGAACCTCTCCTCTAGGGCCCGCCTCAACGATCGCCTCGGGGTTCGCGGGGGGTTCTGGTGGTATCCGGGCAGAAGGAGCTTCCTCAGGGATCTCGGAGGGGAGGGTCTCTCGTGGACGGGAGATTCTGCCCTCCAATGCCAGTCTGTCTTCCCCTCCCGACACCAGCGGATGGATCTCGCTCGTGGCCGTAGCGGAAGGCTCAATATCAGTGCCTCCCTTCCTGGTCTTCCGGGGGGCTTCCGCATCGGATGGGTGCAGCGGAGCTCGAGGCTTCCGCTTGCCTCGCTTCCCCTGGACTAGGGTCCAGCCCTCCATAGCGTCATCTGGGGGTTGGTTAGCAGGGGGGTCATGTCGGGGGGGCGGAGGCGATGGTTCAGGGGTTCAGGGGGGTAACAGTGAGGCAGCATGAGGGGCGGGGGGTTCTCCTTGGGGCGGGCCCTCTCCTATACCTGGTAATATCTTGGCCACATCCTCCTCCATAGGCTCTACCAGATTGGTAATAGCAAGGGTGGGACTCCCTTGCTCGCCTGGGCGTTGTAGGGAAGGTATTTCTTGGGCCCGGACGGGAGCAGCAGTGGATTGAGTAGGAGGGGGGTTGGTTTCAGGTGCCGGGCGGCCAGGGGCGTCGGCAACGACGGGGCCGATGTCCTGCCGGGTCTCGGGGGTCTCGGGTGCCCCTCCCCCCGGGCCAAAGGGCAGTCTCTGCGGACATGCCCCGCTGAACGGCAGAGGTAGCACCGGGCCTCTCCGGTGGAATAAAAGACCCGATAGCGGGCTCCTTGGTAGGGGACTAGGAAGGACCCCTCGAGCGCCTCTCCGTCATGCGCCGCCGCCGGCGGTAGAAGCTGCACTTACCGGCGGAACGAAAGGACGTGACGGAGGGTGGGGTCCTTGCAGCCCAACGGGAGAGGGCTGATGACAGAGACAAGTTTCCCCAGGGTGGAGAGAGCGGGTAACAGTGGGTAAAAAGGGAGGAATGGAGGTGAGGATGAGGCGAACGCCCAGGTCTTTTAGCGGCTCTAGGGGGACAAACACCCCCCCCACCGCCAGGCCCTTCTCCACCGCCTCCTGGGCGGCAGCCACCGAAGCTAAGAAAAAAACGACTTTGCCATACATTTTGGAGGCCGCCACAATAGCCGTGGGTCCTACCACCTTACCAGCGCCTGCACATACGTCTCCACGTGGGGCGAGGCGGGCACCAGGAGGCAACGGACACTGTGCCTTCTGGTCAAGGTGGGGAAGGGGCCCCGGCCGCTGGTGATGGTAGCGGAGGCAGTGGGTGGGCGAGATGACGAGGCGGCAGGCGGAGGGAGCCTGCCACTGCCCGGGCATACATCCTGGGGGCCGGGGGAGGGACGTTCGCAGAGCTGGTGGAGGGAATAGCAGGGGGGGGCGCCACAGTCAATGACAAGGCCACAGCGGTGGAGGCAGCCCCTGCTATGGAGGGCCTAGTGGTTTTAGCGGGGCCCTTTCCTTACTTCCCGCCCTGGCCTTTTCGGCCAGCTGGGGGGGGTTCCTAGAATCTGGGGGGGCGGTGGACGTAGCAGTGGCAGTAATCGCCCCGGTGCCTCCTGCTGCCGGTGCCCCAGTGGGGGTGGTGGCAGGTATTTTGACAGTGGTGGTGGTGGTGGGGGCTCGGAGGTTGGATGGGGGGGAGGTGGGGGAGGAACAACTAATATTGATAAAGGGTCCTTGCCCCTCTCATTCCCCGCCATTGTGAGCAGGGAGAGACGGGGAGACACCGGAAGGAGGAGCGGGGAGGGGGAAGCAGATTAACCGCTCCTCCCTGCTGGGCTGCAGGCGGGGGGGTACCAAATGGGTTGGGCTGGAAGGGGGAAAAAACAGGAATCGGGTCCAGTGATAAGGGCAAGTTGTGGAATAAACAGTCCGGGGGGTGGGGTTGTGTGGACCCATGCACGTTTGTCCAAAGAGTCTCGTTTGGTCGGCTGTTATGTCCGGTCCGAAAGGCAAAGTTCAAAGCAAACAGCTGGATCCGAGGCAGATGGCAGGTTGCCAGCAGGGACGGACGGCGGGGGGGCCGTGACAGTTGTAATAATGTTGGGGGGGGTACCGATGGATCGGGGGGCAGCTCCGTGCCACACCCCCTGTGCCGCCACAAACGCAATTAAGCCACAGTCAAACTCCCCCCCCACGAGAGTATAATTCAAAAAGTTACTCAGTCTTACGGCCCCCTCCATGATGATTTGTAGCTTCCCTGGGTGATTTCCACTGTCCTCTATCTTCTTCTTCTTCAGCTGTGTTGGCTGTGTTCCAAGGCTTCCAGCAAGCCGAGAATATTGCAGAGATAAGAAGTAAATTCCGAGCTGCCAGCAAAACGGCTGGGTCTGGGGGCTTCCACTCCCCTCTCCGGATAGTGGGTCGGCAATCTTCCCGCCCTCCTCCGGGGGTTTCAGCTAAGGCAAATAGCTGCGCCCAGGAGCAGGTGTGTGGGGGGGTGCTGGTGGCAAGCTGGCAGCCGACCAGCACTCAACGGCGGCAAAAAAATAAAGCAAAACAAAAAAGCGTCTGGCCCGGTCGGGGGGGGGAGGGGGCGGGACTAAGGCAGGCTCAAAAAGTAAGAAAAATCCAGGCCAGGGGGCTTTAGGAAAGAATAGAAAGCAGATAGCTGAGGAGCAAGCGAGGGACGTCCCGTTTCTCAACAGGGGTGGTTTTTTTGAAACAGAAAGAAAGTTTATTGGTAACGCTTACAGAATTACCAAAGGAAACAAAACAACTATGCAACAAAACAACGCAATCAGAAGGTATAACACAGCAGCTTTCAGGAGGGAGAAGTGTTCAGGCTAGCCTGGGCCCAGAGCGGGGGGGGCTTCCTCGACACTCGTGGTCTTCCACCCTCCTGAGTTACCTGGTGGCCTAGAGCGGGGGGGCTTCCTCGACACTCGTGGTCTTCCACCCCCTCGAGTTACCTAGTGCCGCGCCCAGTGTCACCGATCCTCCCTCTCCTGAGAGTGCCCGGCAAGATGGGCACGGCTGCGGGGTGGGCGGTTTGGGGGGGGGTAGACACCCATGTATTATAGGACCCCTCCTAGATGACAGGAATGATGGTATCCCCAGCGGCAACGGCTGGGGCTGGCGTCTCTCGCTCTTACCCTCAATCAAAGGGTCAGACGGAGGGAACCGGACGGGGTCACCGAGCAGAGAACCCCAGACAGCGCCCACCGCTCCTCGAATGCTTCAAGGGAGTCGGTGGACGCCGCCCAGAGGAACTCCGCCCGGATACGTGAATGTACTGAGGATCGGAAAAAGGCCCCACAATCGCAGGACGTTTCATGGGCCAACCTCCTCTCTCTGGTTTTATAAATGGCTGTTTTAGCCAAAGCTAGGAGGAGATTGACCAGAAGATCCCGCAACTTTGTGGGCCACGGATGGGAAGTGTATAGATAAAAAGGTGGGGGGAAAAATGAAGCCAGAAGCGTAATAGAATATTTGTGAGGAGCCGGAAAAGGGGCTGCAATCTGGCACACTCTAAATACACGTGCGCCAGGGTTTCCCTCACATTACAAAAAGGACAAGTGTCCGGAATGGGGGTAAACCGTGTCAAAAACACGCCCGTGCTCACAGCTCCGTGAAGGAGCCGCCAACTGATGTCCCCGACGGGCCTTGGGACCAAGGTGGAATACAGGCTGGCCCACCGAGGTTGCTCACCCTCCAAAGGTGGCAGGAGATCCCGCCACTTTGTATCGGGGCGGGACACCAGGGTGTGGGCGTGAAGGGTGTGAAGCGTAAGTGTATATAAGTATTTCCGTGAAGCAATTTGAAAGCTAACCGGCTGCAGTTCGTGCAGCCGGCTTGCAGTGAAAGGGTGAGGGGTTTGTTGGGATCTACGGGGTGGGGGCCCGATGGAAAGGTCCGGCGGGCTTGGGGTAAGGGATGGGCGGGGTACGCCCTCGCACAAGGCTCGGCTAACATAAGCCTGAGCAGCGGGGGTCAAGGCGGCCTTCACCTCCTGAAGCACGCGCCGGGGGGTACGGAGGCTGGAGAGCCCCATGCGCCGAGCGAGCGTCAGGGGATCCAGCCAGTCTCTCCGGTCGTAGTCCAGGAGGTCTCCGACCCTCGTGACTTCCGCCAGGACGAACCTCTGGTGCACCGATCGGGACTCAACAGGGGTGGTTCCAGAACAATCAGGAACCTGCTGGAGACAATTAAGACAGGCTGATTAGAACACCTGCAGCCAATCAAGAAGTTGCTAGAATCAATTAAGGCAGGCTAATCAGAGCACCTGGGTTTTAAAACGGAGCTCACTTCAGTTTGTGATGTGCATGTGAGGAGCTGGAAGCAAGAGGCACTGGGAACTGAGAGTGAGAACGCGGACTGTTGGGGGACTGAGGTGTACAAGCATTATCAGACACCAGGAGGAAGGTCCTACGGTGAGGATAAAGAAGGTGTTGGGAGGAGGACATGGGGAAGTAGCCCAGGGAGTTGTAGCTGTCACACAGCTATTCCAGGAGGCACTCTAGACAGCTGCATTCCACAGGGCCCTGGGCTGGAACCCGGCGTAGAGGGCGGGCCCCAAATCCTCCCAACTCCTGGTCAGATACAGGAGGAGTCGACCTGGACTGTGAATTCAGAAAAATGGCCAAGCTGAGGGCTGCCGTGAAGCTCCAGGGCGAGCAAATCTGCCAATAAGCGCAAGACTCACCAAGGTAGAGCTGGAACTTTGTCACTATATATAATGTAATCTAGGGTGAAATGGTTGTTCTGGGGATCAGTGGGGAACTGGGATAATAGCAGTGCAGGATGGAATTGCTGGAACACCTGAAGAAGGGTGGTTGAAGGAAGTATTATGGTTAAGGATAAGCATTTGTCACAGATTCCATGACTTTCAGAGACCTCCATGACATTTTACCCTGTAGCTTCAGCTCCGGAGAGGCGAGGGCCTGGAGCTGTCAGCTGCTGCTGCAGCAGATGCTGTAGCCTCCTCTTCTCCCCCCACCAGAGGGGGGTTCAGGCTGTCATTCCCCTTCCCCCCCTTATTTTTAGTAAAGGCTATTGTGACATTTTATAAATTTGTATCCATTTCCCCCCAAGTTGAGCTTACAATTAGGGTAAATTTGTAGTCCCAATTATTATAACTTTCCTTAGTGCACCTTTCCTTAGTTCACATAAGCAGCCATAAAGCCTTAATTTTATTTAGGTAAAAGTGGTGATATATATTGCTTTAAATTAACTGAAGTTTGATTTTATTTGATTTACTGGCAGGGAGTATTCTGCAGGAGTATTTTGGGGTCTACCTTTTCAAGACAGTGGTTATCTTTTTGTTATATATTTGTACAGGGCCTAGCAAATGGAGCTCAGGCCTCTACTCACTACCATTATGCAAATAACTAATGATATCTTAATCCACTAAATCACATGCAGCATTCATTAACTTGTTTTTAAAAATGTTCAGTGTAATCTTTTTATTGGAGGCAAGGAGAGAAGACGTGGAATTTCATTTTTTATGCAGTCCTACCTAATGGCTACACTTTATCTTTAGCTATCAGTATTGATAGTCTGGCACTAATCTGATAAATTGTCACTCCACACACAGATTAGAATTCAACCATCCTTTGCCTCTCAATCACCATATATTTTTATCAACCTGTTTTCAGAGTGCTCATTAACTATCTGTCTGTTCTCCAGCTTTGAACTGTGCTTGCCCCACACCACATCCTCAACAAGAGGGTTTTTTATTGTTGTTTTTTAGTTAAAGCCAACCTCTTTCTGTTTTAGGGGTTTATGATTATAAACATTTTCACATAAATGGACTGAAACTTCCAGAAAAAATAGAATTAAAGGCTCTATTTAAGGAAATAGTAGTCAGATGGTCAGATTACAGATAAATAAAGGTCAAAGGATATATTTAACTGGAGATAAGCAGAGATGGCTAAATAGAGGTGTCTAGTAAGTGAAATTATAAAATAATGTACAGTGAGGGTGAGAAATCAATTTAAATTAATCCAAGGGATTGAAAAAATACAATAATTTCCCCTGTTTATTTGCTCATACATGTTTGCTTCCTTATTTTTGTCCTGTTTGGGTACAATATTTTCCCACACTAGTTCAAGAAAGCATTCTGATGGAAGGCTATCTTCTTGGTTTGAGTTGACAAGTCTCTGAAATGGTACTCTCACTTTCAGGTTAGTTTTCTTCATCCAGTTTTCCCCTTAACTTTGATTCTACATTTTATTTTCCTCCAGAAACCTCTTTTAATGAATATTTTGCCAGGGGAATCAATGCAATTAAACATGGTTTTGTAAATTGGAACACTTTTTTATTACAGAGCCTTAGTAATGTTGTCTAAAGCAGATGCATTCATGTATTTCTTCAGGTCTCCGCATTTTCTACATGGGAAAAAGAATTACACAAAATAGTATTTGACCCGCGCTACCTTCTGCTAAACTCTGAAGAACGTAAACAGGTGAGTTAAAAAGAGAATTGGTAATGCATGCTATCTGTCTAGCCAACATCTTATTGGTGACACTTACCATTGTAATTGTATGCCTCCCAAATTAAAAAATAAACAGGAGTAACCTCCCTCTCTTCCTCCCTGGATTTAAAAAGTTAACCTCAGTTAAGGATTTTTTTTTTAAATTGTGAATGAGATTGAGTCTAGGTGCTATTCTTGTGAAAGTCCTGTCTCCTGTACTTACAAGATCAACCCACAGAACATAGCTGTGACTGTTGGCCAGGATTGTAGAGACAGATAGATGGGCACTCATACAGCTAGGGCCAATCCCCAAAATAGCTTTGAAAATCAGGGAGGGTTGACAATAGGATAATGTTCCAACAGTGATTTGTGTTACTTTAGCAGATGGACGGATGCACTTTGTACCAGCTAAAACTTTCTCAGGGTGTTTGGCTTTATTCATGGAGATATGTTGCAGTAGTCAGCCCTGGAGTTAATGGATGAATGGACATGTGATGGCTAGGTCTGTCTGATAGGATGACCACAGTTTTCTGGCAAGCTGTGAATGGAAGTGGATGTGTTTTTTGTAGCCATGGTTATTCTGGTATCTAGTACCAAAAGGACACCAGGCTCAAACTAGCCTAACAAACTGATCAGATCATAGAATATCAGGGTTTGAAGGTACCTCAGGAGGTCATCTAGTCCAACCCCCTGCTTAAAGCAGGACCAATCCCCAATTTTTGGCCCAGATCCCTAAATGGCCCCCTCAAGGATTGAACTCACAACCCTGGGTTTAACAGGCCAATGCTCAAACCACTGAGCTATCCCTCTGGGCAACTTCCTTCGATAATAGGAATGTTATGAACAAGGTCTGTTCTCCAAAATACTTCCATCTTATTACCTCGATCACTCTGGGTTTAGCTCTCAATCAGATGCTCATCATACAAGAGCTAGAGGAAGTTGGGAAATGATCATGTTAACTTTTGTCATACAAGAGCTATAGAACTGGGAAGTGTCCTTGTATTGCTGATTCTTCCACCCATATTATCTCCATCATTCTCCAAATGGCTTTGTATAGTTATTGAATGGGATGATGAAGAGCACTGAACTTTGTGGGGCTCTATAGGGGGGAACAGTTGCCTGTGATACAGAGTACATATGGAAAGTTCCTTAAAGAAACGCATACAGTAATACTCTTTTGTCCTTAATATTAAAAATATATTAACATACCCTTTCCATGTAATCCCGTTCCAAATTTTATTTGTCTTTAAGTGTTTTATAATGTTTGATTGTGAAAATGAGTGAAACAGTTAGAATGGGAGCTTAGTAATTGAACAAGGAGATGGGATGACTTAGCAAGAAGGCTTTGTATTTCCTTCAGTGACTCAACAAGGGCACAATATAGACCTTGCTCAATCAATCAAGCTTTATTGCTTTCTTTCTTTCTATCAAGTGTATGCATGATACAATAAAAAACATAATGAATACACATAATAAAAACATATCATAGAGGCTTTAGCTTAAAGTATTGCTGACATGGGCCTCATTTATGGGATATATTAAATACTCAAGGAAAATGACTATGAAGAGCAAGGACTTGGCATAACTACATAGAGAAGATCAAAGTCATGCTAATGCTGGTACTGAGACAGAAAATAATTCAAGCTTAAAATCAATGTAGAAGTGGAAAATAATTAGACGCTGTGTTAAAAAGCATGGAGAAGGTGAGGGGAGAGAGAGAGAGAACGCCCTGGATTTTCTGAGCCAGCAGTCAAATGAACCAGTCTGGGAACAGTTTTTAAATGTGCATATACTAAAAACTAATCCATGCATTTTTGAGGACTGTTACCTAAAATACTTCATTGTAAGTAAAGATCAATCAAAATAGAGATTTACAATTTTAGATGATTTGCTGGATAGAATATTGAACTGTGAGCCAAATGCCGTAGGTCTAACATACTTTAGTAGGTGGTGTTTGAATACTGCAATTATAGACACTTAGATGTTGTGGCCTCAGACTGGAGGCAATTACGCTTATTTAGCCATTATTCTCTTTTTATTTCAAGTGACCTGAGAAGGAGGGTGGCCTTGGACAAGATTAGATGACTGACTTAATGAATCATCATATATTAGTTTCAATATGGCTAAAATTAGCAAGAGAAATTACTTCCCCTATCATCAGACACATGGAAAATTTTTCCTTGTCTGACACTGACTCCAGGGCCTTATTTCGGGTTAAACTATCAGTGTGTTGGGGAGAAAATGCTGTAAATCGGTAAGTTTCTGGCATTAGATAGATGCATGCCCATGCAGTTTTGGAGTTATCTGAATTAATTCGTGTTGTGGAGACTCTGAGTTTGTGAAGACCACATAAAAATTAAATAAAGGAATCGGTGTCCAGGTGATGGCTTTTTATACAATAAATAATTGATGCAGCCTCCTTCGTTTGGTCTCAGATGAAGAGGAAGCTTGAAAAGTGTAGGTTAATTTTGCCCACAACCAGAAAGGGCAGGAACCCATTTTATCTGCAGGTGTCTGAAAGACCAGAGTCTCTTGACTTGATCTTTTGCTAGTATTAGGTTGATTGTGATGTGAACTGTTTTTTTTACGTTTGTGTGTAACTTCTTGGTGCTGTCTGAGGAATGGAATGATCTTTTATGGAATTCTACATGTTTGGTCTGTTTACTTATCAGTATTTCCCAAGGGGTTATCACCACTCAGTGGAAAGAAAGCATCATACATTAGAGTATGGGGAAACCTATGGCAAGAAATAGTGATGTGTAAAGGAGATATCGTATTAGATAATGAGTTATCTATTAATTCTGATTTATTAAGATCACCAAGTGTCATTTTAGGGACTCCTTTTCTGTAACATTAACAAAGAGGTTGCTTAAAAATTCCATTATTCATTGGAATTCTCTGTTGATAGAGGAGAGATTGAACATTTCTTGTATTTTCCCCTTATATAGTCGAGATTTGGACAAGAATAATCACTGTGTAAGCAGTATGATGGGTATGCCTTCCATTGGAACCCCAAGAGGCAAACTATATAGTCTTTGACAAGCTCTCTTGCATGTTAGTACTTCTAGGAAACAATTATGATTACTAGCCCAGCACTTTTGCAGTAGATAGAACTAAATGATAATGGCTTTGCCAATATTGAAGGTGAACGCATAGTGGTAACACTAGCAAAGGCAACATCAACTGGTTTTATGTATTTCATTTTTTCCTATCATGCACTTATTTACCCAACTTGTAAGAACACTTAAAATCAATTAATCTTCATTTTTGGCTTGAATTTCCTGGTCCCTCTTTCTTATACAGTACCACTTTTGAGTGTATACTTTACCAGATCTATTTCTTCCCTTAACTGTGCACCGTATAAGAATCCATGTTGCTACATGCCAGTTTCATTTCAGTTTCATAGAGTAGATGGAATGATTTTTTGCTTTCTTGCATGAAATGTAGATTTGCACAGATGCATCATTCATCAGTGAATGGAAAGTCCCTAGTACCCAGACTAGGTTTGTGTACTTTTTACAGTGCAAACAAGAAATTGGCAGATAAACAGAACTTAGAGTGTCTTGATGAACAGCTCCTTTTGTTCCACCATTTCAGTGTTAAATAATTGTAAATATTTGTAAGCAAAACATTTAATTTCTATTTTGTGCCTACACAGCTCTTTTTAGAGCACAATTCAAATAGATCTTCAGGGATTTTTGTAAAGAATCTAGGTGCCTACATCCCACTGATTTCACATAGGCATTATTGGCTTCATATACATGTGTGCAGTGCAGCAAACTGAGCTGAAGGATCATTCAATCTTTCTTTATGTAATTTCCATGAAATTGCTATCTGAGCATCATGGACAGTTTTCTGGTCCACAGTCAAGCAGTTCAGGGAAGATGCATACTTCAAACCAAACACAATGTGAATCTTATGAATGTTTAGCTGTGAGCATGACAAGTAATCTACATCTATGACAAGAAGTTCTGATTAAGGTTGCACTTTGTGTTAGGAGGCAGACAGTAACTGCCTAAATTGGCACCTCCAACCCTTTAGGCAGATAAAGCCTTGCAGTTGTGAAAGTCTCTAACCCTTTGATCAAATAGGCACACCCGATGTGTTTGTTAATAAATACTTCTATATTTGTCTTCTTTTTTAAAACAAAGATATTTGAGCAGTTTGTCAAGACCAGAATAAGAGACGAGTACAAAGAAAAGAAAAATAAATTATTGCTAGCCAAAGAAGAATTTAAAAAACTTCTGGAGGAATCCAAACTGTCACCAAGGTATGGAGCTACTTTGTGAAGCAGTTAATACTTATTGTCCCTTATTAATAAAAACAAAAAATAGAGAAGCCTGGTAACATTAGGTTATGATTGTTCTTGGCATCCAGTAGAATTTCAAAGTCAATTTTTGTAGAAAAAATATTACATTGAAAATTGAGTCCTGTGGGTGGGATAACGTCATTGGATTATCCTTCTTTTACTGTTGCACTAAACACTAAGGTTATCTTATGCTTTCTTTCTCAATAATACTTTGTAGTACCTTGTGACATTACTGGGAAGGGGAGTATACCACAAGTGTGATAAAAAAATAATAAGCATACAAGTGTCTTTAATGCAAAATCACTAACCATTTTCCATTTGTTTGGTTTTTGACAAAAAAGAAATTACATTTTCTAAAGAAGTTATCATTGATACCGTGCCTGTGTGTTTCAATGAGATTTCAAGTTGCTATTGCTTGTTTCTCCAAAGCTATTTTCAAGTAATAGGGTCAAGAACTATATATAAGAAATGAACTTCTTATGATATTGCTTTTTCATTGTAAATCATGTGAAGATAAATATATTTTTTTGACTCTTGGTAAATTATTAGAAATAAAGAAGAAATTACAGCTCTCGTACTAAATATTGAAGATAATTACATGGCATGGATTTTACACTCTCAGGTTGCCCTAGTCATCTGTGACACCCAAACTGCAGTAATAATCTCACCCTTTAAATAATCCTTGATCAGTCTTTAGTATTATCAAATAAAGAACAGGTAATTTCCAAGCTGAACATTACAAATCTGTGTACTATACAACAGCACACAGTTAGTGTGCAGCCATCATTGCCAACATTCATATGGGAGTGAACAGTAACTAAAATAAAGAAGTAGGCAGCAAACTAGCCCCAACAGTGACAAAATAAACCAATTGGAGTGTAAAGCAACCCTCCAAGTATTGCCACAATAAACACAGAGGCACACACAGCAAACCAATCTCAAATTCCAGAATTTGATCCTAAACCATCTGTAGATATAAACCCCCTTGTACTTCAGAGTTAAATTCTGGATCCAAGTGTCACAACTTCCCTTTCCCCCTATAATTCTATGTTTATAAGTTTGCAATAATGCATCAGTGCAGCACTTGGATATTAAGACAAAACTCTGGATCTTATTACAACTAAACTTTTGTGACATTTAGATCTTTTATTTTGTTTAATACCAATTATCTGAAAATCACAAAGCACTTCACAAAAGAGTGTATCACAATGCAAATTGTACATATGGGGAACTTGAGGCACAGAGAGGATAAATAACTTTATGCAAGGTCACACAGCAAGTTAATGGCAGAACTAGAAATAGATCCCAGTACTGTGTTTGCAGTTTGGGCCCATCTCCAGTTCACAGCACATGCTGTTAACCAGCTCCTACATATTATAATTACTTTTCTCCAATATTCTGTTACACTCAAATTATTATGAAAAGTCCTGGAAAACTACAGAGGTAACTTAAAATAAACAACAACAAATCCTTGTATTCTAAGGGAAATATCAAGTTGGACATCCAGGAAAAGAATATATTAATGACCTTGGAGTGAGTCAGAATGTCAGTGTTTTTTTTATATAACTAATTAACTTATTTCCTGACTTTGCTATTGGCGATTTGAGGAGAAACTTACTGATACATCATATGACTTTGTTCAGCCAAATGTCTATTTATCCAGGTGCTTACCATGCTCAGCACCATAATATTTGAGTCAAATATAAGCCAGCAGCTTTGTTCTCATATGTAGCAATCACTTCTGAAAATACTTCGCCTGATCATGTAGTTCTTAGGCAAATTTCCTGTTTTTTTTATTAGAAGAGATCACATTACAGTTGTTTCTTTAGGTATCATATGCCATGTATTGCTGAAAAAATGTTTTTGTTATTAATTAGATGTCGTAGTGTTTTCTGTTCTGATGATGATGAATAATCATGGAAAAGCAGAGGATAAGCCTCTCTAAAAATATCATTCAGCAACAAACAGTATTACCTAGCTAGAGTAGTGAATAAAAAGCATATTTTAACAACCACCATGTCCATGATTCTACAGCACCAGGGTAAAAAACAAAAATCAGTAAATGTACAGTATATGAATATGGGAATAATGATTAGTACAGACAACTCAAGCCAATCATGGAGCAAAGCTGATTTTGACTTTGGTGTTGCCTCTTATCTCTTGACCTTGACAAATAGTTTCAGGAGGAACAATCTTGGTACTTTTTAAGAAAAGTACGATGTAAAACTAAGGACTAAATAATCGGATAATTTATTAAAAAGTGCAAAGCTTTAAATAATGCCTTGCTCATGTATGACTTTTTTCGGCAGAACAACATTTAAAGAGTTTGCAGAGAAACATGGCAGAGATCAGCGGTTTCGACTTGTTCAGAAGAAAAAAGACCAAGAGCATTTTTTCAACCAGTTCATTCTTATTCTTAAAAAGAGGGACAAAGAAAACAGAATAAGGCTACGGAAAATGAGATAATTCTTGAAATCTGCAATAAACACACAAAATCAATACTGTGACTGCCATAGAAAATGAAATGAAGAAATAGCATTTTTTGTCTTTTTCTGATTCAAGTTCCAAAAATTTAAAGAAGAACCAGATATCCCTGAGAAATACCTTTTCATACTGAGGTTCAGTGAACACAAGTTAAATTTTGTTCAGATTCCTCTGCAGGAACCTGTAGGATATTTAGTTCTCAGAGAATTAATGTTTCATATTGAAGCTCTCTTTTGTACAACATTCATAGTTTGATGCATTTCTAATTGCCATGATATGTCAATCCCTTAATTGTTTTAATTATGCAAATTACTTGTAATATACACAAATTATAAATTCAATGCAGATTTGTAATTAAGCAGAAAACAGATGTCATCCATTACAATCTCAAGATAATTCCCTTAAATGATGAACATATCTAAATCTATTTTTGGCAACTTACCCATTAACAAACTGTTTAGAAGTACAGTGGTATTGAGGAATTCATCACTCAGTGTTCATATGTCTATGTCTAGTTTCTGAGTAGTAGTAGTAATAGGGTATTATTTGTAAATCATAGTGAAGAGTGTGTAAATCTTGGCATAAGTTCCATAGAAAAACTTATAACTTTCAAATATGGCTTTGGAATTTCTTTGAATGGTGCTTTCAGGCACACAGATTACAGCAACACTTCCCCATAAAAGTTACTATAAAGAAGCTATCTTGTAAAACAATCATATAATATTTGAGTTATTTTTATTGTATGTGAAGATTTTGCATGAGAATTTTCTCATCTTTGTATAAACAAATATTTTAATTTTTTTAATAAATATTTTAAGCCAATTTTTATTTTTAGTCTCTAGCATTAGAATTCAGACAGTATTCTCTTTGAGAGCTACTATATATATATATATATATATATATATGGAACATATTGCTGTTGCCCTTGATTTTTATGTAGATTTTTACTAATGTCCTCAATGCTGTCATATCTAGTTGACAAAATAGATCCCACAATAACAAATTATATAAAGCATCTAGTGTAAATCAGTATCTTTCCACTGAAGTCAATAGAGCTAGCCCAATTTTTACCCGCTGAGGAGTAAACTGTCCTGTGTCTTCTTTCCATATTCCGTGCAGTTACTGAGCTTATTTCTGTTAAGATCTAATGTAAATACTTTAAAGTCAGTCTGGATCCTTTGCAGGTTTTCTGTTTTCTACCTGAAGTTTGCAATTTCCTCCAAGTAAAATTAAGTTTTCCATAGGTATTGCTCATGTATTTCTTACAATTTAAGAAAATCCACTTCTTACATTTAAATAATGACTTTAAAGAATTCAAAATGAAGAATGGTCTTAAATTCCAGCAAGGGAGGTTTAGGTTGGGCATTAGGGAAAATTCCCTAACAGTCAGGGTTGTTAAGCAAAGAACAAATTACCGAAGGAGGTTATGGAGTCTCCATCACTGGAGGTTTTTAAGAACACCTGTCAGGAACGGTCTAATTATTACTTAGTCCTGTCTTGAGTGCAGAGGTCTGGACTAGATGATTTATTGAGGCACCTTCCAGTCCAATACTTCTATGATTCTATGAACCATTAAAATGAAGTGTGTATTGTTTAGCACTCCAAGTGGCCAACTTTTAAACCAACAATGTTAATGTTCTGCTGCTTCTTTGAGGAATGTATTTTTTTCCATCTTTGTTCATTATTTTAACTTTCCTCCAATTTGATTTAAGTAATATATCTGATGCATCACATGCAACAGAGCAGCATAATAACATAGAGAGGACCTAATCTTACATTCATTGAATGTCAAAATTCCCATTTATTTCAGTGAAAGCAGAATCGGGTCCCAAAATTCATACTGGCAATGGTGTGAAACCATGTTGTTCTATTGGTATCACTGTATTACATAGATGTTGTTGTTTGCATCACATAAAATGACTTTTTTCAGTTTGGTGGCCAAACTGAAAATTGGAGAAAAAATTGTTTTGGCTTGAACAAAATATCAAAACATTTTGTTTTTTGAGGGTTTGTAATTTCTTTAAATGTTTGAATGAAATTCTGACATACATCTTTCTGAAAAAAGGTGAAAACATTTCCAAAAGGCAGAAATGAGCTGTCAATATTTTTAAAAAATCAACAATTTGCCAAAATCCACCCAAATTTATGAATTGTTTCGTTTGAATCTGCCTCTTTTTGTGGGGGAAAAAAGTGGTTCACACAACATTTTTTATGTGCATTTTGTATTCATTAAAGTGCCAGACTGATACGTCAGGATGAGGTGAGCTAGAGTTTAGAAGGACAGAGGGAATCTTTTATGTGATTCATCACTGTCATGGGGTGACGACTCACCGCTGTGGTGCCTCCTGCTGGTTGTCCAGGGAATTAGCTTTTTCAGCCAGGAGCACCCTCTGCCGGTCGGTGTCTCACCTACCGCTGGCCCTGTGCCCCTCCGGGACCCCGCTGCCCTTCTAGATTAGGGTGCCCCCCTGGCAGTACCCCCTCAGTCTGGGTCTCTCTTCCCTGGGGGAACCCCCATCCCTCCCTTGCCTCAGTGGCTACTGTCAGTCATCACGTAGCCCCCGCTCCCTGGGGCAGACTGCAGTCTGTACTACTCATCATCAGCAAGGGGAGAGGGGGTCAGACCAGCTGCCTCTGTCTAGGTCTGGGCTGCTCCTCTGCAGCCCTAGGACCCTTTTGTGGGCCTTTACCTGAGTCTGCTAGGCTGGAACGCCCCAGCTCCCTCTGTCGTTCCCCAGCACTTCTCTGCCCTAGATACCCACCTCTGCTTCCTAGGTAGCCAAGTCCTCCTCTCTCCATGTAGCTAGAGAGAGTACCCCACTCAGCTCCTGGCTAACAGCTCTCTTCTAGGGCCAGCTGTGGCCTGATTGGGGTATGGCCCCACCTGTGGCTATTTCCCCCAATCAGCCTAGCTTTTCTCTGGCTACAGCCCTCTCTTAGGGCTGTTTTAAGCCTTTCGAGGCATGGCGGGGTGAGTACCCCGCCACAATCACAGATATGCCAACTATAATAAATGGCCAATGTGCCTAAACATGCAACTTGGAGATTTTATGACATCCCACACTCTATGAGCTTTCTTTGATGGTTATCTGGATGTCACTACCAGAATTCACTGATGTGTGTCTAGCTACGTGTAGCTCAGAGATGTGTGAAGTATCTTGCTTAGATAGGTGCAGTTCATTTACTGTAAATATATGGTGTGACTGTTGAGTGTAGACCACTAAAAGTGAATGGATCTTTCAAAAGAAGGAAGTTCTTCCAGGTTAAATGAATGGAAGATATGTTAAACTCATGAAGTCTTACTCCAGGGAGAGAAGACCACTCAATTTCCAGTGATTTGTCCTGTGTTGCTTTAAGTTTTAAATATATTTGTCTCTCTAAATCAGAAGACAGGCTAGTCTCCTTTATATCTAAGTAAAATAATTTCTTGATTTTTTTATTTAATCCCTTGCATTAATACAACACCATTGTGCTAACTAGTGCATGAAACTTAGTCTGATTCTCTTAGTGTAGCAGAATGAAGTGCAAAAAGTAAGCACCTTAAAGGGTGATATGTAAGTTCAATTTTAATAATACTTTCAACAATAATTTAAAGGCATAATTCTGCTCTGTTCTGCCATTCTAAATCTGGAGAAACTTCACTAAAATCAATGCAGTTGGTCCAGATTTAATTGATCAGAATGTGTCGTATTACAACAGTATTTAGCATATTAGATATTAGTAGTAACACATGTAATATAAGGTATTTACCTTGACAGTTCCCTTCAAGATTATACATGATGACATACTCTTATCCAAAATCATATATTGCTACTTATTTTGTCACCTTGCCATGATGCTCCTAAACCTAATCTGAACGTATTTTTTTAAAAATAACACAGACATCGGCCCTCCGCTATATCTTACTCCCATAGACAAAAGTTCAAAAAAATAAAATGATTTCAGCACATGAGTCTGTCATATTTCTTTCTGTGCTTTCCTACACAAACAAACGTGAAAAGATTTACCAGTGTCAGAATTCTCCTCAAGAAATGGGCAAAGCCAACATTCAACATTTCATCCCCTTTCTTCAGGAGCACAAAATGAAACAGAGCTAAGTAATGAAAATAAATTAGGAGACTACTGGAAAACATCAATCGTGTGTGTCTAAATAAGACTGTAATGAAAATAAGATACAAACTGATGGACAGTGGGCTGCCATATTTATTCTCCACCTTATTCTTTTGTATGGCTTAAAACCAGTAATGTTAGATGTCCAAGTCTAGGTTGGCAATCCAATTGATTGCTTCAAGTGATGCAGAGTGGATGGCAGAGATACTGCTGGGATATGATCATTTGGGACATTGATTGATGAGGTGTTCCATAGTAAGAAGTCTATTTCTGCAGTCACAGATAGGATTGTATCCATCCCCCGTTTATGAAGAAGGTAGGTGCTTCTACCATGTGAGGTGTGGATGCTGTTCAAAGTGGACCATATTTTCCATGGGAATGAAAAGCCACTGGATTCTTTGGTCTTTAATGAGGTGTTAGTTGGAGATATTGGTATCCTTCCACCTTGCTTGCCATTGATCTTTGGGGGAAAAGCCCAAGTCTTCAAGCTCTTATGCTACAAGTCATAAAGATTTTCTGGATTTGATTCAGAATCTTGGTGTATTATTTAGGTCTTCATATTTTGGAAGAGCATCTATTTGAAACAGTTTATTCCCCTGATTACAGATGAGTGTTCGGGCATGTTTGCTCATCTGTCTTTGAATCCTGACTTCCCTTTTGAACAGTTAGGATAGATATGCCACAGCCAACCTTGTATATATGTTCTATACATGACATGCTATTTGTGTAATTTTTCAGATGTTGGGAGCATTTGCCTCCAAATCATGTGCCTCAGAACGTCAGCTGAGATGTGTATACTGTAACACAAAACTCAAAACTAATCCTTTACAGTTCTGAATAGTTGTATATAGATCCAGGAGCATGGATAATGATTTTCATAGATTTTTTCAGGCCAGAAAGGACCATTGCAATCAATTTTATTCATGTACCATTTTTGCCATATTTGTAATTAAACAAAACATTGATATATTTACAAATATATTTATTATTCATGCATAATATGACAGAGAAACTCCCTTTAATAAAACTTTATAGTACAGTCTCATCTTGATTTGTGGGGTTTTTTGCATGTACAGAATCATCTTGTGGATTGAGATAATACAGAATATAGGGTATCCATTAATATATTTGAAAGGATTTATTTTTATTGTTTAGATTCATGTCACTTTAATAAATATAAATACTCTATGAGCTGCAGGACCCTGAAGATCTCATAAGTGTCATTTTTCCCTTCTCTGCAAAGTTTTAAAAGTTTCACAACTTTTCTCTGATTTAGAGAAATACTATAGATGCTACCATTTCCACTACAATGCTGGTTCCGGTCATTGCAGAAATGTGCCAAGTCTGACTGACTGATTTCACACCTAATCCAATTGGTTGGTGGGTCAAATGAGGGAATTTGCGCAACTGTGGATTAGCAGTGGGTGCTCATGTTAGCACTGTTGCTGATACTGACAGCTTTTGGTATTACTGTGTGGGGTAGACTGGCCCCCAAGCAGTGAACTTTGAGAATATTCCCTATGGCAAATCCAGCAGTTTCTTAGGCAAAGAGGGTGCTGACATTTGAGTTTCTAGCCAGTGAACTCATGCTCGTGCAATGTCTTCAGACAAGCGTGACTGTAGCAGGGCCCAAGAATCTGTCCACAGTGACAATTTCATGGAAAATTTTGGAAATCACAGGAGCCATGGCAGCTAAAGCCTGACCTTGACAC